TCATTTCAGTTATGTGGGATGCACCCAGATGGCTGTCCCTCCTGCTTCAGAATCTGCCGGGCTGGTCCCCAGTTCCTGAGAGGTCCCCACCACCCCTTTCCATCTCCCTCTTCGTGTAAACAGGAAAGTTCCTGAAAGTGGCCAGATTCCATTTCAGATTAATATTCTTCAGCTGGGTTGTTGCCTGGCAACCTTGTGAATCGTCTCTCTCTTCACTCTCTAGGTCATCTGACTATCGGTCCCCTTCTCCTGCCCATGATCACAGTTGTCTGAGTCCTTCTGTCCTTGTCTCCTTTCCTCCCTCACTGGAGGGTGCTTAGCCCTGTTCGAGGTCAGTCCGTCCACCAGGGCCTTTCATCCCAAACACTCCTGCCTGCTTAGAGACCTTGTGCCTTCACCTTTTCTTTTCATTCATTCCAAAATTGTTTTTCTGAGTGCCTTTTCTGTGCCAGGCACAGTGCTGACCTTGGGACACATGTTAATCAAGCAGGTCTGTACCTTTTCTCTTGGAAGGGAGACAGTGTGACATGACCTTAAAGTGCATGAATAATTCCGGTGGGGGGAGTAAGCAGAGAAGCCTTCTCCTTCCCCCTGGACCATGAAGCTTTCCCCCATGCGAGCCTTCTGACATCTACAGCATGTTTTCACCTCCCTCTTCCCCTACTAACGGTGATTAAAATTTTCTGAGCACTTCTAAGACCAGGCTCCTATGGTAAGCACTGTGCATGCGTTATGTCTTACAATCCTCACCCCAGCCCTACAAGGAAGGTGATACTCTACTGCCCCTAGTTTACAGCAGAAGAAACTGACACACGGAGAGGGTGGTGATTGCTGGTAGAAGCAATCCACCGTGGGCCTTGAGCATTCCTGAATGTTCTTGCTGAGTATGCCGAGAATGCTAGGTCATGACCTCTCTCTACCTGGGCCATTTCTCAGGGTTGTGTTTGAAATGAGTAACTTTGAGGCAGGAGGGAATGTCTCCCCATGGGGCAAAGAGCACGCTTGCTACTGCTGACTATAAAAGCAATAGATTCCTCAAGCTCAGTGTTCCTCAGCTGAGACACAGCTACTCTGGGTCCGTATTGTTTCACCACCAGGGACCTTGAGGGGTAAGAGGAACTGATGCAAATCATGTTGCTAGCTGGGTTGTAGTTTGTCTCTGACCCAGGAGTCTTTTTTTTTTTTTTTATCCTCATCTGAAGACATTTTTTTGTTCAGATAGAGTAGGAGGGAGAGAGAGAGAGAGAGAGAGAGAAAGAAACATCGACGTGAAAGGGACACATCGAGTGGCTGCCTCCCGCACGACCCAACCAGGGCTGGGGACAAACTACAACCGAGGCACGTGCCCTTGGCGGGAACCGAACCTGCGTCTCTCTGGACTGCAGGCCGACACTCTAACCACTGAACCAAACCGGCCAGGGCTGCCCCAGGAGTCTTGTATCTTCTGCCTCACTGGTGAATCAGTAGCAGGATAACTTATTGAAAGTTGGGTAAGATCAAATCCCAAACTGAACACGGTGATTTACCCAGGACACAAACCCCATCAGATGCACAGCTGAGCCCTGAACCTGGGCAGTGTGATCCCACAAGCATTAAAAACTCTTCCTGTTCCCTCAATGGTGATCTTTCACTTTCCTTCACCGTTATCTATTGAGCCAGTGAGTGAGGTAAGTTGGAGTGACAGACAGCAGGGGCAGGAGAAATGGGGTGGGGAGGTTTTGATGGCTGATTTTGCCTATGACCTTTCCCTTGGTGGTCTCATCCTAGGCCACGACTTTGGTTATGCCTTCAGTGTTCATGATCCGAAAGCTCTATTTCCAGCCACAATTTCTCTTCCAAGTCTAGACCTATTGCCAGTTCTTTCCTGTGTTCATTTATCCATTCACTCATTTATTTACATTTATGGAATACTTACTCAGTGCAGGCACCGGGCCAGGTGTGAGGGGTCAGCAATGAACAAGTCCAACCACAGCTTTTTCTCTCATGGAGTTCATATTCTAGTTGGGGAGTCAGATGCTAAACCGACCACTGTACAAATACCTAAATTATTTCAACTGTGTTTAGGTCAGGGGTCATCTTTGGCATGTGACAGCAATAGGCGCTTTTTTCCTGCTCTCTAATAAAAAGAATTTTCTCGCCTGGCTGGAGTGGCTCAGTGGTTGAGCGTCGACCCCTGCACCAAGAGGTCGCCAGTTTGATTCCCGGTCAGGGCACATGCCCAGGTTGTGGGCCTGATCCCCAGTGGGGGGCATGCAGGAGGCAGCCAATGGGTGTTCTCTCTCATTGATGTTTCTCTCTCCCTCTCCCTTCCTCTCTCTATAAAATCAATAAAGAAAAAATAAATAAAAATAATTTTTCCATAGCACTTATCACTACCTGGACAGTGTATACTTTATTTATGTTTGTTTGATTTTGTTTGTCTGTCCCCCACTGGAACATGAACTCCACACGGACATTCTGCTCAGTGCTATACTGTATCTTTGTTCAGTGCTATACTATATCCCCGCTACAGCCATCACTGTATTTTTTCCTTTAACATTGTTTTTGACTTCCTAGAGGCCTCTTAGTTGGATGAACAGGACCTGCAGGTCTGGTGGAGCTTGGTGGGGTGAATGGGTAGATCACTGTCATTCATGGGCCACCCCAGTGGCTCTGAGGCTCTGAGACTGGCCAGGCTGGTCCCACTGAGGAGCACCCCAGCTGACTCCCGTGACTGCGTTTCTGCACCTCTCAGCTATGGTAATGGAACCTAGTACCCATTCTGCTCATAACTGTTGCTTTCTGTACTTCAACAGTTTTTGTGCATTTCAATGCAGATCTGACACTGTAATGAAAAATGCACTTATAAAAAATGAAAAGTCAGTGGCAAGAAATATTCAGAGTGATGAAAACCAAGAACCTACAACCAAAATTACTCTATCCTGCAAAGCCGTCATTTAGAATCAATGGACATATAAAAACTTTCCCAGACAAGAAACAGTTAAAGGAGTTCATCACCACCAAACCGTTATTATATGAAATGGTGAAGGGTCTTTTTGAAGAAAAAGATAAAATGTATGAACAAACAAAATGGCAATGAATACATATCTATCAACAATGGAATCTACAAACAAAATGAACAGGCAGAACAGAAACATTCTCATAGATACAGAGAAAATTTTGTTAGTTGCCAGTTGGGAGGGGGGTTGGGGGAATGGGTGAAAAAGGTGAAGGGATTAAGAAGCACAAATTCATTGCTAGACTGACAAACCTCAAAGGGAAAGGGGTTGGGGTGGGTGGGAAGAAATAAACCAAAGAACTTGTATGCATAACCAATGGACACAGACAATAGTGTGGGAAAAGGTGGGAGGGGGGCGGGAGTGGGGAGGAGGGGGTCAATGGGAGAAAAATGTGGAACATCTGTAATACATTTTACATCCAACAATAAATATTTGAAAAAAAAAAAGAAAAGTCATAATGATACTATTTGTTAATCCAGCTTGCAGATCACAATATGAAGTCTGCTGATTTATGGTTCAAACTGGTGCTGCTTCTTTTGTTTACTTTAGTCCTCACCCAAGAATTTTTAAATTTATCTTTAGATAGAATGGGAGAGAGGGAGGGAGAGAGAGAGAGAGAAACATTGATGTGAGAGAGAGACACCATTGATTGGTTGCCTCCCATGCAACCCTGACCAGGGCCAGGGACCAAACCGCAACCGAGGTACATGCCCTTGACTGGAACTGAACCTGCAACTCATGATTGGTCCGTGGGTGGTGCTCTAACCCTAAGCCAAACTGGTGCTTCTTAAACTTTGTAAAATGAAGGTTGCTAAAATGAAGATCGGTTCAGTAGGTTTGGAGAGGGGTTTGATATTCCGCACATCTACCAAGGTTCCAGGTGATGCTGAGCGCAGTCTTTAGTTCTGTCTCCACGGTGGACCACGGAACCAGGTAAGTCACATCTCTCTGCACCTGCCTTGGTCCTTGTGCTTGCTTTCTGTTGCTCCTCAGAAACGGAGTGAGGATCGATGACTTGACGCACACACAGAACGACTGACGTGTTTGTGCTCCACATTAACATTTCTTGTGTGGCCTGTGTTTCCTGTTTCGAACCAGTTGTCCACTCTGGGTCTAAATTAACCGTAAAAGACTACGATTAAAGACAATTTAAACTGTGCAGCAATCAGACTGCTGTGGCGGGGCAATGGATGTGGAGGGAGTGAGTCATGTCCTGGCTTCCGAGCACTCTGGGGTCCAGCTGCCATGTGTGTGCCTTTCACCCGACATACAATCGGTTGTAGAGATATTTACAAATATTTTAAAAGTGATTAATTTTATAAGGCACATTGGAATAGGCATTGTTGCTGCTTGTAATGATGGGCCTGGAAAACCTTTGTTAATTCCTGGGACTTTGTAAGCCTCAGGAGGAAACCATGGACCAGCGATTCTTAACTGTTTTGGGTTGTGGGCTCTTTTAAGAATCTGATCAAAGCTGTGGACGGTCTCACAAGAAAATGCCTACATGGACATTACACATGAAAGCTCACAAAGTCCCAGATACTGGTGACCAAGTTCTGACCCTCGACCACCCTCGTCGTATTTTAGATAATTTGCAAAGTTTCACCCTGATAATGCTTCTTTCCTGCTCAAGTTTCCTCAATAGCTCCCCATTACCCACAGAACTGTTTCCCCAAGTGCAGTTTGTGGTCCTTCTGTAGAAATTGGCTGATGCTAGTTAAAAAGGTCGGTTCCTGCCCTGGCTGGTTTGCCTTGGCAGTTAGAGCATTGGCCCATGGACCTAAGGGTCGTGGGTTCAGTTCTGGTCAAGGGCACGTACCTGGGTTGCAGGTTCGATCCCTGGCCCTAGTTGGGGTTGTGCGAGAGGCAACCATTAATGTGTTTCTCTCACATCGATGTTTCTCTCTCTCTTCCACGCTCTCTAAAAATCAATGGAAAAGTATCTTAGGGTGAGGATTAACAACAACAACAACAACAAATACATAAATAAGGTTGGTTCCTATCGCTTCTTGGCCTTTTGGCCAAGATCAAGGGTAGTATCTAGTTTGATCAGTTTGGCATCTGATACGTCCTCTATCCAAGGACAACAAATAATGGAATCTTGGAGCAGGAAAATGGACTGGGGGCTCACTCCATCGCATCAACCACACATCGACCCTGTTATCGTAGTACTCCAGGAATGGTGCTCTCCCTTGGGGACACACACACACACACACAGAAAAGACACACAAAAAAAGCCTGGTTCCTGGGCCCTATACCAGAGCTTCTGGACCAGATTCTCTGGCTCTAAAGGCAAGGCATTCCTGGAGTTTGTAGGCCAGGTGTTCCACTGTGAGGCTTGGCCATACCTCATACCAAATGAATAACATGCACCCACAGGCCAAGTAGACATACCTTTGGTAACGTTTTTGAAAAGATGTTTATAAATTTTACAAGTCTAACTTTTGTTAAAAATAATTACTGTTCTTTCTCTAGAACTTTGATTATATTTACATAAGAATTATATTGCTGTTATGGCCAATATTACCTTTTGTAATATTCATTCTGATTTTGCAGTCAGTGGGTCAAACTTTAGAGATGATACACTTTTCAGTTTAGACATTTTTTCAGGCCCTTAAAAAACAGGTGAAGTATGCATAACCAATGGACACAGACAACAATGCTTGGCTGGGGGGTGGGGGGTGGGATAGGGAGGAGGATGTCTGGGGGGAAAAAGGAGAAACATCTGTAACAAAAATACATTAATTAATTAAAAAAAAAAGTATCAGGGACACATATAAATCCCGGAACATTAATAATAAAAAAAACAACAAAAAACAGGTGGGACCTGGGCATTGTTCAGCTGATACCCAGCAGAGCTGAACTGTTCTGGGTGGTATCTACAATCTAAATTAAAAAAAAAAAAAATCCTCACCGGGGGATATGTTCTTATTGATTTCAGAGAGAGAAATGGGGAAGGAGAGAGCAAGAAACATGGACGTGAGAGAGAAACATCGATTAGTTGCCTTTTGTACACACCCTGACCAGGGATTGAACCTGCAACCTGAGTACATGTCCTGACTGGGGATCAAACCTGTGACCTTTTGGTATATGGACAACTCTTCAAAAAACTGAGCCATATTGGCAGGGCTATGATCTGATTTTTTTTCTTCTTCTTTATTGATTTTAGAGAGACAGGAAGTGAGAGGGAGAAATAGAAACATCGATGAGAGAGAACATCAGCTGACTGCCTCCTGCATGCCCCCTCTGGGGATCGGGCCCACAACCTGGGCATGTGTCCTGACCGGGAATCAAACCACGACCTCTTGGTGCATGGGTTGATGATACTCAACCAGAGCCACACCGGCCGGGCATAATTTATTGTTATATTTATTGTTGAAAGTATTACACTCCCACTTTCCCAAACTATTGTTTGTGTTCATTGGTTATGCATGTAAATTGATTGATGTTTCCCCATCACCACCAGCCCCCTTCCCTCTGAATTTCAGGCTTGAGATACACCCACGTCACATCAATTGGATTAGGATGGTCGCAGACCTCCTGTTTTATGTTCACAGGAATTGTTTTGGTTGATTCGACAGCTCATTTAATACTGGTGTTGCTAGCCCGCCTCAGAGTAATCCCATCTGAGAAAATTGGAAAACAGGTCTTTAAAGGCACAAGAGATGTAAACAACCTAACACAGAACTGGCACCACTTATGGCCTGATTCCCTCGACTATTTCATCCATCTTCTGTGGGTTTGGCCTCTAGAAGTTTCTGTAAAGCCCTTTTGTTGTAGTCAAATCTGATTTAAAAGCATCACCTAATTGTTTTGAACAATCCACTGGTTGGAGCCAAGAGTTAAACAGATCAATTTTGTAGGACCTTGTATTATAAATCTCTATCACCCCAGATTAGAGATTACAACCCATTTCCAGGGCAGTTGCCACTGGCTCAGCCTTTCACCAGACCTGCTCCACACACCTCACTTGTTCCATCTACAAAATGGGGGCTGGCAACAAAGAGGAAGTGTTGATTTCTTACCTTCTTAGCAGTTGGAAGCCTGTATTTCAGTATCTGAAATTAGGACTGGTGTATGATCCAAATGCTGGGAGCCTTTTGTGTTTAACATAATGGACCCAGGCATAGGCCTTGGTATTTTATTCTTCCTTGTCCTTTGTCAAGGGACAGCCTTCTAATATTCAATTTCAGCTTCTCAAACACTAGTCACCAAACTTTTTAATACTACAAATTTCCTAGTAGTAGACACTGACGCACCTTTTCTAAGGGTTTGTACATTAGGTGAAGTTCCACACCGTTTGTCCTTTTGGGAAACTTGAAGGAACAAGCTCGCTAAAGGCTATTTTTCTATTGATTTTTTTTTAGAGTGGGAGGGAGGGAGGGAGAGATACATCGATCGGCCTCCTCCCACATGACCCCGACCAGAATAAAAACTGGGACCCTTTGGTCCTCAGGCCAACACTCTAACTGCTGAGCCAAACCAGCCAGGGCACTAAAGGTTTTCTTGGCCTAGGTTTGTTTAGGCCCCAGCCAAGCAACTTTGGGTGCAGACTGATCCACGGCCCACTTCTGTGGTTCCTTCACACACACAGTGACTATATAAAAAATAGAATATGCAAGTCAGGTGTTTCTGAAAACAAGTTTTATTTAAATAAGGGTTTAAATACATTACATAACATTAAAACTGAAGGAGAAAAAACCCAAAAATCAGCTTGTTACTTCACATGGCATTGGGCAGCTGTTGCTAGTAAGTTGCAAGCTCTATAGCTAGCTACATGTCTGACACATCAGTTTGAAATTTGTTCCCTTGTCAAAAGTTTAACTGATAGAAGGTTGGCCTCAAATTCTGGTGTTTGGACGGTAATTAGCTAGAATATGTCTGGTCACAAAGACCTTGGTGGCAAGCCAGATGTCCTGTCACCTCACTAGAGGGGAGGTGGCTGCTCTAAGCTCCGTCCACCTGGTCAGGCTGGAGATCTTTGACTACCGAAGGCTCCCTCTAGTGGTACAGAGGCGTTGCTGCCTTACCCCCCTCCTCTCAGCTTCACCGAAGGCCGTTCAGGTGGTGACATTCTCTGACGGCAGGGGACTCTGGTGAGGAGCTTCTGGCCAGACATAGCCGTCTGTGATCTTGGGGCTCTGGGCTTGGCTGAAACATCACGTTATTGCCGTGTTTCAGGCTGGACACTGCCAGGTGCCTACTGCTTGACCTCTGTTTAAATGAGGGACTTCAAGACTAGACAGCATGGCTCTTTTCAGTTTATTGCATGAAGGAGTTACACTAGTCCAAGTTAAATGCAGACCCCAAATGGTTACATTATACAAGCTGTGAGGTTTTTAAACTTGTGACAAGGGACAGAAGGGAAATTCTAGTCATTGCAAGGAAATCCTCACTTAAGCTTCAGTGAGCCAAAAGCACTTAAAACCCATGAACCTTCAGCTGGTCGTCCTTAGCCAGTCCAATCTGCAAAGAAAAAAGGGCAAAGTTTTAAATAGTAGATTGAGAGTTCAATCCCATCCTGGTGCCAAACAATCCTGTCTTCCTGCTTCTATATAGGGGCAAGAAGTCCAAGAGTCAAGATGCATACCTCAATCACCATGAGCACAGTGATTCTCAACTCAGGACATTGTTAAAACCCACCGAGGTGTCCTGGCCGGTTTGGCTCAGCGGTTAGAGCGTCGGCCTGTGGTCTGGAGAGACCTGGGTTCGGTTCTCTCTAAAGGAACGTACCTCGGTTGCAGTTTGTCCCTGGCCCTGGTTGGGTCATGTGGATGGCAACCACTCGATGTGCCCCTTTCATGTTGATGTTTCTCTCTCTCTCTCCCTCCCACTCTATCTGAACAAAATATCAAAAAATGTCCTCGGGTAAGGATAAAAAAACCAAAAAAAACCCCACCGAGGTAACAGAATTGTAGCACTTATTGTGTATACACTTCAAAACTCAACCATTTTGCTTAGCTTTACACAATGAAACTTCTATTTCCCCAGCAGAACTTAATAGTCTAGGCCAGGATCTGAGATTAGCCAGGGCAGAGGCTCAAATGCACCAAGTGACTCACCTCTACGAGGAACTGGCATATGTTCTTACGCTGGTCACCCTGTAGCTGAATTACTTCTCCATATTCTGGATGCTCAATTACAGTACCATTGCAGGCAAATTTCTGCAAGGGAAGCAAAGCAAATTAGGCCAAGCAACAGCACCAATGTACTAATAACCCTCTTCGGAAAATAATACAACACAGCACCCCCAGGTGTGCATGTTAAATGTGAATTTCCTACAATGAAGACCTACCTTTTTAAACGCCTTCACTAATTTCTTTTTATCGTAATCATCAGCGATCCCTTGGACAGTAGTAAGGGTCTTCCTGCCGTTTCTCTGTTGAATTCTTATATGGATATAATCCTCAGTGCCAGCAGGAAGCAGGTCATCACCCTTACTTGCATCAGCAAAGGGGTCTGGGAAGAAAGGTTGAGAGTCGTTGTGGCTCAGATGCCACTGTCACCCTCCCCCTGGATCTTTTGTGATAGCAGAAAATACTGAAATCGCCAAGGGCTGGGTCAGCAGATACATCCTTTGTGGGATCTCCCCGAACAGGTCAGTCCGGGACTGCCAGCTTTCCAGGCCGGGTAGAAAGCCTGGGCCTCCGAGCCCGCCCTCGGAAGCTGATCACGTGTCGGGGGAGCCAGGGCTGGCAGGCAACGCCCCACTCGGCTGATGCAACCGGCCGGAACCCGAGCTCCGAGGCGGGGCCAACTTCCCACCCAATTGGCGCCCGCGTTTGTTACTTAGGACTGGTGCCTCCTCCCTCTCCCGAGTCCGCGACAACGCCGGTGACGTGGACGCAAAGGACGTGACGCAGGGTGGCGGGAGGAGGCGGGTGTGGCCCGCAGTGGCCCCGGAGCCATTAGTAAGTGCGCCACCCGAGACGCCGGGCCCGCCCAAGGGCTGACCTCTCGTCCTACTCTTCCGGTCACGCTCAGGGGCCGACCCCAAGGCCCAGGCCCTGTCCCCTCTGCCCACGAGACCAGACACCTTCCCTCCGCGTAGATTTACGAAGGCCCGGAGCGCTTGGAAGGTTTCCGGGCCTGGGCGCCCCACCCGCCCTCCCCGCGCGGGCCGTTCCGCGGCTTACCGAAAGAGTGGAGGTTCTGGATAGCGGACATACGATACGATTCCTTTTCCTCGGTGG